AGTTATGACACTGTTTCCACTTTGTTTGACATGACCAAACCACCGCAGACGGTGTTGCCGGCATTCGTCCTTCATATCATCTAAACCAGCACGACGCAGGATTTCGCTAGATTTGATGTGGTCCTTCAGACTAATTCGTAGCATCCATCGGAACATATTAATGTCGGTTCATTGAAGTTGTTGTTCCAGTTTGGTTGTCATTGGCCATGTTTCTGCACAATATAACAACACCGGACGTATCACAGATTTATAAAGTCTTGATCGTAGTGGTAGTGGGATGTCACACCGCATCAATATAGAGACAAGGAGACCATTTATTCCAGGCTGCATGTATGCGTGCTCGAACGGCAGCTTCAGCTGTTCCAGTACAATCCAGAACATCCCCTAGATACTGAAACGATGTGACTATCTCTACCTTAATGGCTTCAAAAACATTGCTATTTCGAATTTGTTGTTGTGGACTGATGCAAGCAGGACAAACAAAATTGGACACTTTAGATAAAGTACCAATTATTTTTGAACAACATTTGTGACACCACTGTTTACATGCTGACACTTGATTGAATTGTTACTTACACCAGCTTTACAAACTGAACAGAACCATCGTCCAGTAGCTGTGGATTGGATGGGTTCACCAGTGTTCATTGCTTTGGTTTTGCTGGACTGAGAATCGAGCTTTGGTGTACTCCAACGCCGATGTCAAATGCATCTGTGTTTCCAACCGTTGTGCTGACAAGAGTCTTAGTATTCGTTTACATTTCCATCACAAGTCGAACAAGATATTCTGGAATGAATTGTCGACGTAGACTCCATCTGATTGCTTCACGGGGAACTCGATCAAATGCTTTTTCAAGGTCTACAAAAATGTGTGATAGTTGTTGATGCTTTGCGAGGTACTTCTCTTGCAGTTGCCGAAGGATGTGAATTGCATCAATTGTTGATTTCCCCGCTAGAAAACCAAATTGATAATTTCCGATTGTGATGCACGACGTTAATCTTCTCTCAATGATTTTTTCGACAAATTTCAGGGAGTGTTCTAACAGACGTATACCCCGATATGATGAACAGTTCAATGGATCACCGTTGCCTTTGTATAGCGGGACTGTCATGCTATAGTTCCATTCAGTCGGCATAGAGCAATTTCTCCAGATTTCACGGCAAAGTTGTAGTAACGTTTGGGTACCTTCAGTACCAGATGCTTTGATAATGTCATTTGTGAGTCCAGAGAGCCCTGCTGTCTTTCCATCCTTCATAACTTTCAGAGCTTCTGTAAGCTCCTCTACAGTGATGTCTGGAATCGGACCTTCGATGGGTGGAGCGTCAAAGTTAACATTGATGGGATTTGTTTCGTTTAACAGACGATTGAAGTATTCTCTCCACTGTAGCTTGATCTCATCTTGTTCAAGAACCATCTCATTTCTGTCGTTTTTGAGGCACCAACTATGTCTTTTTTCGTACGCTTTGGTTGTTTTGCTATACGATACAGAGATTTCATTTGTTCCCCTTTGCTTTTAGTGAGCCACTCTCTGCACTGATCTGTCCGAGCCAGTGCAACTTGACGTTTTGCATAGATGTTCTTCTCACGGAAAATTTCATGGTCATCTACAGACTTTGATTTTTGCCATTGCTTGTATGCAACTTTCTTTTCAGCTATTGCATTTTGTACACTGTCATTCCACCACCAAGTGTCACGTTCATGCTGACGTTTTATACCAGTTTTATACCAGTTTTCTCACAAACTGTAGTTGCAGCGTTTATCAAAACTGTTTTGTATGTACTCCAATCTGTAGTGGCTTGCGATTGGTTGTCTAACTGTGTGGCGACAATCTGTTGAAATTTTTCTCGATGAATATTGCTTTTCAGCTTCCACGTTGTGAATCTCCGAGGCATTTGTTTAGACTTATGATTTGACAGTTCGACAACCAGGTCTGCCACAAGGAGTCTATGTTGGGCGACACATGATTCGCCAGGTATAACTTTGACATTTTTGAACAGCCTTCGGTGTGGTTGCTTGACAGCGAAGAAATCAATTTGCGTGGCTGTTGGTCCACTTTTGAATGTTATGAGATGTTCCAACCTCTTTCTAAAAACGCCAAAATATAACTTTTGAAAAAATGAAAAAATAACTTGTTAAGTCAATTTTTTAGCAGTTTTCATAAATTTTTTAGAAAAATAAATAAGAGGTTTTACTCCAATAAATTATATTTACAATACAAAATTTCTACTGTTACTTTCATAACTCAGAAAAACTTCTATTCGTAATTGTTGTTTCAAAACGTTTCTAATCTCTACTGCTTGGAAAGTTTCAAATTGCATTGTAATATTTGAAAATCACAATAACTCACAATTTGTTATTACAAGAAATTAAAATTCATAGCAAATTAAACTCAGTATTACTCGAAAAATCCACTAAGAAATATACACAGCGTCACAAAAACAAACCTCGTAATCACATACGCCATTCAACATGCACCATGTAATTCATGTAGGTTCTACGCCTCTTCCACTTCCTCATTAAGTTTGGGTACTACTCACCCGACGACATCAAAAATCTGCTGAAACCTCTTATCAACCTTCTAAATGGGAAAAACGACAAACCTTTTCTTCCTGACGCTGAAAAAGGATGTAAGTTTGACATCTGCATAATTTCATACATCTAATAAAAAAATATATCAGTTCAAAATGTTCAGAGTAGTTTTTACTAATTTTGCAATGTAAAAAAATCATTTATTGTTATTGTGGATAATTTTGTTATTGCTGACTCATCATGTGAAATCAATGCTTATAACTTTCAAACACGCTAAACAGCCTACTCGAAAGAGTCTCACAAAACTGTTCTTGCCTTCAAAACGAAGGATCGTTTTGAGGCTAACATCAATGCGGAGGCCATTGTGAATGCTAAATTTCAGTAAGTGCTTTTTTAAAAAAATAATAAAAAATTCATGTCTCATTTGTTTCTGCGTTGCTTTTGCTTTTAAATTTTAAAAAATCGATAGCAAATTAACATCAGAAAAAGATTGTGTTGAAGATTTAAAATTTTTTAAATTCAATAAACATTTTCAAAGAAAACTTTTAAAAATTATTTAACTCAAGTTATAACTTCAAATGTGGTAACTGATTTCATTAGACCTACCCAACCCATTATTCCCAGACTCTGAAAACTATCTTTTAAACTCATTTTACTTTTAATTATTATTCATTAAAAATTTAACCGAACAATAATATCTTGAAACATAGGGCTTTGGAAGTTCTTGATTTGTTATTCACATTTCAATTCAACACGAGACTGGAGTGTTTCATAGCTAAGTTTAAGACAGCCGAATTGACAACAATCAACAAAAAGTCCAAATTCCAAAGTGCCCTGTGTCCCTTGTTGGAGGAGAGCTTTGATGCCTTTGATCAGTCAAAGTTTGTTTTCTCATTTGATAAATCAAAGTTTGTGTCTTCAACTAATTACAAATAAAATACCATGTGCATATAAATTTTTTTCAAAATATTCACGACAATTTATAATTTCCCTTAAATATTGTGAATTTTTAACAACTTTTCGAAAATAATGAAAAAATACAGGTTTTTAAGAATGTTTATGTTTGCGCACAAAGATTTGTCACATAAAAATAAGCACCCTAACAAATATTGGAAGAATAGTTTGGTTAATTTAAGTGCATATTTTTAAAAACTCTATTCATCATATCCAACCTTACATTTGTATTTAGGTCGTCGATAGCAATCCAGAAGAAAGCAGTGAAGGAGCTGAAAAACATGTTTGACTTCACGGCATACTTTGATTCTGAACAAATCACATCGATATTAATGGTTAAGTTTAAAATTTGTTTATATTTTAAATTTTGTTTAGGAATGAATTATCACTAACATTGTGTTGTCAAATTAACGCACATTTCATTAAAAAAGAGAGTTAACGATGACATGAAAATTTTTTTCTAAAACAAACCGCCAATTATTTCATAAAACCACCAAAGTTTATAACAATTTAACTTAATCATGTTATATTTTATTATCAATTTTTTTTATTAATTTTTTGAACACGCCAGGACTTGACGTATTACAAATACGACAAGATGGTCAACAAAGCACTTGCTCTCATGAACAAATTCTATTCCGCCAAAACAAAACTTTTTAAAAGTGCCGTTCAGGCTATGGTTAGCAATGTCATTCAAATAAAATTATTTTTCAAGGAAGAATCCAAAATACTTTGACGGTGGGGGCAAAATTAGAAAAGTTGACGACTTTTTTATTTTGCTTATTGTACAATTTTTGTTCAATTCCATTATATGAAACAGTGCTGTTTAATGTCCTGTTTAGCAAAAAAATTGAATATATATTTGTTGGCTAAGTTAAAAAAATTACAAAGAAATGTTGTTGAAGTGATGATCTGATGATTTGTGATGATTTGATGGGGACGGGCCCCGTCCCCATCAAATCCGCCACTGCACGCATTCAGTATTATTTGTGTTGTAACAGTTGTTTGATCAATTTTTTAACGAACACAAAATGAAAAACATAGCTTGTAAATAGTGCCAAAGCATTAACATCAATAAATTTGTTCAGGTTTTAATCACATCGGATTCCTGTCACGTGCACAGAGAAATAGCACGCACGATGCCAATCCTTCGACGGTTCAGCAAAGCGAAACTGAACGAAGATCAGGTGAAATCGTTAGGTGCAGTTCTGGATAGGTACACAGAGTATGCTGCTTTTTTCTTTGTAATTTTGCAGCTGCAAAGTAGCAAAATGACAATAATTCCGGGACGTTTGAAAAAAATGTAAATGTAGTGTGGAATAGTACATGTACTGCAAAATGTTTAATTTTATTGACGACTGAACAAACTGAAATGTAAAAATTAAAATCGTAGCCCTATAATGATACCCGAAATTTAAAACTATTATTTTCTTTAAATTATCGAGATTTTGCCACATGGCTAAGGAAGATGATGAACCAAATGCCATGAACCAAAATGTGCTCATCAACCATGGTGAGAATTCATATGCCTGTAGTTATAATTGTATATGTGAGAGTGAGTGTGTTTTCAAAAATTATTTTTATTCATTTATTTATTGCAATTAACTAATTGGCACCGATGCTCTGCAATTACATTTTAGTTAATTGTTTATTTTCAGAGGTTTTGTCTCTGGTTTTTGACATGTTGTCAATAGAAATTGATGCCAAGTTGACGGTTATTTCAATTGTTAAAACTTGATTCTAAACAGATTTACGTTATCAGCAGATTCAATTTCGTTTACATTCACACATATTTGTCTGACTAAAATAATACTATCTGTTGTTCGTTCTCACTGCACATTATGTTGTGTTGTGTTACATCATTCATTCATTTCCTTAATGACTTTTAGCATTTTTGAGTTTCAACCAAACATTTGAAATGTATAGCAATCATTTCAACAACAACGGACAAACAGGACCAATATAAAGGCATGGAGAAGATACTAAGGAAATGTTTGAAATTGTTGAAGGCGCTCGCCAGAGGCAATGATCTTGTACAAAGCAGAATGTTCGAACGTTTTGATGATCTTCTGAAAATCAAAGTCGTTGAAGCAGATTTAGCTGTTGCTCTGAGAGAAGTACGTTCACAAATCAATCAATCATTGTTTTGCGTCCAGAGACCCGGTTCCCCGAGGTAGGACGTTGTTTTCTTTGCCATCAACATTTTGCGCCAAATTAGACGATCCGTTGTATCGATTTCATTTAAATTTAGAGCTTTCATGTCTTGCTCGATTGTTTGCGACTAGGACTTTTTTGGGACGTGTGCCATCAACATCTGCAAGAGAAGTTATGGCACTGTTTCCACTTTGTTTGACATGACCAAACCACCGTAGACGGTGTTGCCGGCATTTGTCCTCCATATCATCTGAACCAGCACGACGTAGGATTTCGGTAGATTTGATGTGGTCCTTCAGACTAATTCGTTGCATCCATCGGAGCATTTTCATGTCGGTTCGTTGAAGTTGTTGTTCCAGTTTGGTTGTCATTGGCCATGTTTCTGCACCATATAACAACACCGGACGTATCACAGATTTATAAAGTCTTGATCGTAGCGGTGTGGGATGTCACGCCGCATCAATATAGATGTAAGGAGATGCCATTTATTCCAGGCTGCATGTATGCGTGTTCGAACGGCAGCTTCAGCTGTTCCAGTACAATCCAGAAAATCTCCTAGATATTGAAACGTGGCTGTTAAAACGTGGCTGTTAAAACGATATCATCAGCATATACTAGATTCCAAATGTCACCAGTGCGTATCGGTTTTGTGATTTCTTCCATCACAGTTATAAATAACAGTGGACTGAGAATCGAACCTTGGTGAACTCCAACGCCAATGTCAAATGCATCTGTGTTTCCAACCGTTGTGCTGACAAAAGTCTTAGTTTTGTACCAGTTTTCCCACAAACTGTAGTTGCAGCGTTCATTAAAACGGTTTTGTATGTACTCCAATCTGTACTGGCTTGCGATTGGTTGTCTAACTGTGTGGCGACAATCTGTTGAAATTTTTCTCGATGAATATTGCTTTTCAGCTTCCACGTTGTGAATCTCCGAGGCATTTGTTTAGACTTATGTTTTGACAGTTCGACAACCAGATCTGCCACAAGGAGTCTATGTTGGGCGACACATGATTCGCCTGGTATAACTTTGACGTTTTTAAATAGCCTTCGGTGTGGTTGCTTGACAGCAAAGAAATCAATTTTCGTGGCTTATGGCCCACTTTTGTATGTTATGAGATGTTCCAACCTCTTTCTAAAATTTGTGTTCAGTAAACAAAACCCGTGACTTTCAGCAAACTCAAGGATGCGGTTGCCATCTTCATTCCGTTTTCCATAGCCAAAACCGCCATGTACGTTGTCAAAACCATCTGTTTTCTCTCCAACTTGGCCATTGAGATCGCCTCCAATCAGGATTGTTTCAGATTTTGGTATTGTTGAGATGGTGTCAGAGAATGCAGTCCAGAAGTCATTTTTCATCTCTTCTGATTCGCCTGTCTGTGGTGCGTATGCAGAAAAAATAATCATTGTTTGCTTTTCTATGCGAAGCTTGATCCACATGAGACGTAAATTAATCCTTTTAATATCCAGTACTTCTTGGGCTAGCGGTTCTCTGACAAAAATTCCAACACCATTTTTGGCCGTCTTTTGACCATTCCAGAATAGTTTATATTTTTCTTTGTCTGAGTTGACATGACAGACACCATTCGATTTCCATCGGATTTCCTGAAGGCAGCAGATGTCAATCCTTCTACGCTCGAGCATCTCTGCTATTTCCATGCTGCGGCCATTGAGCGTTCCAAGTCTAAGTACCATAGAGGGGCCATTCTAAATTTTTCTACAACATCCCTCCGCTATTGCATACTTCCCAGGGATTCTTGGCACCCCTTGACCACTTAAGGCCTGCTGGGGACTAGGGGCCGTTGTTTTTCTTTGTGATGGCATAGGAATAATTTGGGGAAAAGTTTTTACATCCGGACACCCATCCTGACGACAACCACCAGTTATAAGCGGCGGGCCTAGCCTTTCGCTCAAAAGCACGCAAGGCAGCGTGGATGCAGTTTTATGTCATACCCAGGACAATTATTAACGCCAAACATTTGGTAGAATTTATAGAATATTGTAAAAATTATGGTCTATTTCCAATATATATATATATATATATATATATATATATATATATATATATATATATATATTTTGCTAAATCAACTGTATCAGAAACATTTTTCATTTTACGGTTGAATCGTTCAAACACAATATTTGAATTTATTTTGTTGAGTATGCCGGCAAAGTATCAAATTGAACCAGGCTTTCAAAGGAAACCAGGTGACTTGCTTAAAGATCCTCCCTCAACAGATTCAAACCATCGTGGACCTAGTGGCTCTTCATCTTGAAAACGTTCCTGAATTTTTAGATCTCCTCAATGCAATTGTGAAAGTTGAAGATCTTGAGCTGACTTTGAAAAGAAACCAGGCATACGTCATGAAATTTCTTATGCAGGTCATATTTTCACTAATTTTTTGTTAGGTTTAAAATTTAAGTCTAAATTGTAAAAGATAAATTTATTTAGCTGTTAAAATGAAACTGACTTTAGAAGAATGTGTTCATTGATATACAAATTCACCTAAAGGACTACAGCAAATTGGCTTACGTGATCGACCAGCCGCGAGAATACAGGGAGGATATATTGACGCTGAGGTCGGAACCATCCAAGTACCATCTTCGCTATCTCATTAGCTTCATTGACTTGCTGGCTACTTGTGCCGAGGTATGTGTGAGGCAACTTTAATGAAAACTTATTTTACCTAATTTTTGGTTGATTTAATTTGAGGGTGAGAACCGATTCATAGAATCAATGTGCCAAACCATCATGTCTTTGGATGAGTTGCTGTGGATTATGAACCATCCAGACATCAACCACAACTATAAAAAACCGTTTCTTAGGTAAATTAAAATTTATCATCGAGACCTTACTTTAATAACTGACAATTTTTTTTCTATTTTTTACTAATATATAATAGATACTTTTTGTGGGTGTACATGAAAACAGCTGGAAGTGCTATTGAAAGTGGGGCCGGAGACCTTCCTCATGATAGGTCATTCTTTTAATTATTCGGCTATGAATGTCATGTGTTTATTCTGTCATTGATGATAGTCAGTAAATTTTTTAACTTCATGTGAAATGGTGTCAATTCTTATTGGTTTTGAATATTTTTATATTTCACTATAAATTATTTGTAAATTTAAAAATTTGTTTAAAATGTTCATAGTAATATTTGGAGATTTTTGAGACAAGTCTCCGAAGATGCAAATGATTTGACAGAATTTCTTGCAAAAAAACAAGACCAAGCAACGCAAATGCTAAAGAAATGTCCTTCTAAATGGTCGGTGAATTTTTTTGATTTTGAAAAAGTGCAATGTTTCAAAATTAATACATTGTAAATTATTCCCAACTGTTATGCAACTAGTTTGATTATTTTCATCTGTTAAACATTTAGTATTTAATTTAATTTTAAAGTGTTGTCTTGCAATAATTATTTTGTTGATCACATTTAAACCAATGAATTTTCATAGGGAAACGTTTTCATCCGACGATTACAACGGACAGATAAGATCAAAGTTCCACTATTTTCTCGATGGAGTACTCGTTGTTGTTCAAGTGAGCAAGTCTTTCAATTTATTAGTCATTTACACCACTAAATGTTGTGCAGTATTGTATAGATGTTGAAATGAAAATCATAGGATGTCAGTATTTTATACTAATGATCATTAGGAGTGTATGCTTATGCAGCACATTTTTTCATTCATAATAACTGTTTGACATACCAAGTTGGTATGACTTTTATTTATTTATTTTTTTGTTAAACAGACATTCTACAGCAAGTTTTACACACCAGACAAAGATCTGTACCCACAAGAGATTGAATACACGGACAATTTAGCTAGAGCACTTTTGGTTAATTTGTAGAAAATTTGAAATTTTTTTTGTTAAGCCTTATTGTTAACTAAGTTTTTACTCTCTAACTCAGAGTTTTAGTGAAACGGCTGTTATGGTCATATCAAATGCTAATCATTTCAAAGCCATCATCTCTTGCATCACCGCGGTTCTGCCATGCTCCGTTGCCCCTCAGTCCGTTAGTAACTAATTCGTTTCTAGGCAGGTCAAACTATTTTGGCCTGTTTATTCAATCAGAAATAGTTCAGTTAACAATCAAAAACCTCTAAAGTTCAATCGTGTTTTTTGCTTCTCTTGTTTATTAATCAACCATTCAACTATCTTTTTAAGTGTTGAACTGAACATTTGGTGCATTCAAATTACATAACATAGGCTATGGAGGGACTCATTGAACAAGTCAGATTTGCCAACAAAATGAGGATGAATAAATTAAAGATGACAAAAGTTGGGTTAAAGATTAAAAAATTGAGATTAATTAGACGATATTTTTTATTCTAAAAATATTTCATTACATCGCTAGGGTCAAAAAGAGTACTACCAGGGCGAAATAGAATTGAACTCAAAGTTACGAACGTTTGCTGTAAACTGCAGCCTGTTATATGGAGGTCATAATACAGTTCAAGCCCAGTTGAAATTCAAATCTAAGCGAGGTGAATTTCAAAATTTAAAATACTTTGATATTTTTGACTATAAACAGTTGCTATACTTTGGAATAACATTGAAAATTCCAAAAGCTTACACGGAGATCGGTGGAGACGAACAACTTCCTCTTGGAGAAGAATTTCAAGAGCATCTCAAGCGATTTGTTCGACCAGGAGAAAAGAAAATACAGAAACGTTTAGAGCTGGCAAAAAAACTGGTTCATCAATTGGCGTCAGTATTACATTAATTACTAAAAGTTAAAATTTATGGCCCGATAATGTAGCAAACGACATGCATCAATGATAAAATATCTTCAATAGTTGTTAATCTACCATAGCGCAAATTATATTTTTGTAAAACCCAATTTGTTTGATTTGTAATGATTAACAAATTTAATTACAAATAAAATACAAGATAAGACTAAAGTTATGAAAATTGATGTTATAAATACATAATAAGTTCAAATATATTGGTCGCCACTGTGTCCGCGTCATATTTTCGTCTGCTATTTATTCAGTGCATCACCAGAACGATTGAACCTAAGCGCTCAGCCACCTTTATTTTGGCAACCGTTAAAACTGAATATATTTATGCGATTTTTGACGTTTTACAACCTGAAAGTTTGTAGCTGGAAGCTAATATAGTGCCTACATTTTTTAAAATCAAATTTATATCATCTATGTTCATGTTCCCATCAATGTTAACTTTGACGCTCCACCCATCGAAGGTCCGATTCCAGACATCACTGTAGAGGAGCTTACAGAAGCTATGAAAGCTATGAAGGATGGAAAGGCAGCAGGGTCCTCTGGACTCACGAATGACATTATCAAAGCATCTGGTACTGCAGGTATCCAAACGTTACTACAACCTTGCCGTGAAATCTGGAGAAATTTCTCAATGCCGACTGAATGGAACTATAGCATGACAGTCCCGCTATAAAAAGGGCAAAGGTGATCCATTGAACTGTTCATCATATCGGGGTATACGTCTATTAGAACATTCCCTGAAAATTTTCGAGAAAATCATTGAGAGAAGATTAACATCGTGAATAACAATCGGAAATTATCAATTTGGTTTCCTAGCAGGGAAATCAACAATTGATGCCATGTCAATTTGGTCATGTCAAACGAAGTGGAAACAGTGCCATAACTTCTATTGCAGATGTTGAAGAACCTGGCATACGTCCTTAAGGCCGTCCAAAGAAGTCCTGGTCGCAAACAATCGAGCAAGACATGAAAGTTCTAAATTTAAATGAAATGGATACAACTGATCGTCTAATTTGGCGCAAAAAGTTAATGGCAAAGGAAACAACGTCCTACCTCGGGGAACTGGGTCTCTGGACGTAAAACGAAGATTAATTGATTGATAAGTTCACGTAATGAGTGAGCACGCAAACACAAATTTTTTTAACTGTTTAAATGTGTCAACGTGCAAATATTTTTATTAAGAAATAAATTGCCCAACACGTGAAGCTCTTTTGATCTTTAAAATACATTTAACATCAAATTTTGCTTCAGGTTGTTCTCGTATTTTTCCTTTCAAGTAAAACTGCTATTTTATTAGATCAGCTTCACGATTTTAAACCTTTTTAGAATATCGACATCTATGCATGCAAAGAAAATGTCTGAATCGAAAAGGTTGGAGCAAGAAGAACTCGACCTCAGATGTCTGCAGTTGTTGAGGACGATCATTCACAACGAAGAAAGAAAGCTTCCAGAAGATTGGGAAGAAAATCCGTCTGATAACAAAAAGTTCAATTTTTTCAACATTTTAGGCTTTATAAAACAAATTTATTTCTATAAAAAAATTTTTTTTGATGCGAAGGTTGAAATTACTGCCTGGTCACAACTTCAAATTTGTTTGGTAAAATTAGCTTATTGGTTTTGTGAAAAAAACATGAAAATAATTAGATACAGTAATGAAAGTTTATAAATTTCATATGTGTAGTTTTTTGAAAAACTTATTCAATATATATTTAACAATGCTTAAAAACTGCGCTTCGTTCGAAATAATTTTACATAGTATGGTCTATGTTACTTCTTATACTGGTGTTTCCTACATGATTATTTGAAATTTTTTCAATATTAGTAGAAAACCGGCTAAGCAATTTAATAGATTAGTTATTAAATTTTTTAGCTGGCAGAAGATTAGTGACTTCTCGAACTATTCAGAATAGATATTTCAATACATAAAATTTATATTTTAAAGACAAATGGCTGTAATTCGAAACCTGCAAGTTGAATTAAACGACATGGGTGCAGTTATTACAGCTCTGCCACATTTGGCCAAGCCATCGGATCGCATGGCCAAGGAGGTGCTGGCTTTCCTTTGCATCATGCTCTTCAATGCTAACGAAAAAATACAGGTTGTCCACTCCAAACATTAAGTCGAATAACTTAGTTTCAATTTTCAATTGATTATTATGTTTTGTCTTTCTGGTAATTTTGTTTAGCTTATTCTAATAATTTTTTTTGAGTGAAATGGTTTTATGGTTTCTACCTTTAGTCTTCTTTGCTGCAATATTTCCTGCACACAAGAGAAGAAAGTTTTTTCGCCGCCATAAGAAACAGAATGCATCTGTCTGCTTTGGCTATTAAAGAAAAGTTTGTAAAATTCGTTTGACTTCCAAATTTTTAATTTGTGCGCATTTAGGTCAAGTTCACAACTCTAAACTATTCTGGACATTTACATAAAAACAATCCTGTCCTAAATTACTTGAAAAGTTTTTGTTTTTGGATGATTTTAAAAAAATCTAAAAAATTTTAGCCTTCAACATATTTTTTTCAAATTTTAAAAGTTAGTTGATTGATTGAAAATTGTAGTGCATATCATGGTTTTCAATTAAAATTGCTCCGGAGAATAAATTTGAAATAAATAAATGTCTTCTTTTTTGCAAAATGAAATAAATTATTTTAATTACTCGATATAACAATTTATTTAACATATGAGTTTCTTTTTAATTAGTTTAAAGTATTTATAAAAACTGGTTTCATATTAAATGTGTTTTTATATAGAAATGTGTTGATCTAGGCATTGTATATGTACATTGAATAGAACAACGTAACACCGTCTTGTTTTCAGATTTCTCTATATCACATTTCAACATCTACTGATCTATCTCTAAAATTCATAAAATTTTTACGCTTATTTCACTGTTGAATTGTTTTCTAGTGCAACTGACATTTGTTTAGTCGGTTGTTGCTTTTTTTCTAAACTGTCTTCACTGCATTGAAAGACTTGTACAAACTGTCATTCATACGCTTTAGATAGGACGTATGCAATTTTATTGTGCATGCCCACTGTTTTTGCAAACTATAAATGGTAATAAATAAGCTACAATAAAAACAGTTTACTCATTAAAAATTTTTAACATATATAAATGAGAAATTTATTTTTTCAAACAAACAATAAAATGTTTCAAAGATGTTGCAAATAATGAATGTGTGGCCCTTAGCTTGGAAAGCATGAAACGCGTGGAGCTTATGGAATTATTGGAAAATTTCAACATTTAGGAAAAGACACGAGATTTGTCAAAAGCTTCTACTGGGAACAAAGTGTAACAATGAAAGTTGGTAACAAGTTGACTAGTTTTGTCGAAATAAAGAAAGGTGTTAGGCATTGAAGACCTGTACAATCTCTATATTGAGATCATCATGAGAAAAATAGATCTACCTAAAATATCTATTGGAGGCGCGAATATAAACAATGTAAGATATGCTGATGATAGAACTCTTATTACAGATTCAATAGAAAAACTGCAAACAATTGTTTCCAAACTGGTTTTTGAAAGTAAAAGGAAAGGCTTGCAAATTAACATCAACAAAACAGAGTGCATGATTATTAGTAAAAAAAACGCCCCAATCTGTTTTTAATCATTAATGGTAAACAGATAAAACAAGTCAACAGCTTCAATTATCTCGGAAGTCTGATATCCTCACGTTGCAAATGTGATATGGATATCAAAAGAAGTATAGCTATGACGAAAGTTGCATATTCTAAAATGAAAAACATCTTTACCACCAATCAATAAAATCAAAATATCAAGAAAATTAAAACTGTTATTGAGGTGTTACATTTTTTTCCTATGCTAATTTACGGCTCTTGAGTCTTGGACAATTTCTAAAGAAATGGAAAAAAAAGATTAACACTGCTGAGATGTGGTTTTTGAGAAGATTTATGAAAACAAATTTTTGGTTATGGTCAAACTTTTTGAAAATATATAGAATTTTTAATAAGGGCGCATTTTAATTTTTAATAAATTCCTTCAATCAGTTTAAATAGTTGATGCTTTCAGGCGTTCTCTGCTAGCCCAGCATCGCGCACGTGCCAAAGAGGTTATGGCGCAATCAAAAAGTATGCTCACTACAATGGCCATCGAGAAAAAAACATTGCAGGTAAAATATGGATATTCAATGTCCGTGTTTCTCTTACATATCTTAAACAAAATTTTTTCAAACAGGAGATTCAAGCGGTCGACTTGGCGTTGAAAAAGGACAGGATTGCTACCAGGGTATGTTATTCATGAGACTGTCAATTTTTGCCTTAGTCGTATATAGCTCTAGCAAAAATATTGAAAATATCACACACCTTTTGCGTGGTGGAATGTAATTTATTTCTTGATTACCATTTATTCAGAGGAAAATGAGTTTATCAGTTTTGCAAAGTAAAGCAACAAGGAAGCAACAACGGCTTGAAAGCAATCAGATAAATGCGGCAAATCAGAAAAACAAAAAAAAGTCTCATAAACAACGGAAAATGAAACCAGAAAACAACCATTTTGTTAATAAGATGAATGGGGTAGCCGACAACTTGTACAATGAACAACTTCCAGATAAATTGACTGCAATGGGAGATGAAAACCTTTTAGTTGGTTGTGGTGCTGACGAAATTGAAAAAATGTTTTTGCAAAAAGAAAAAAAACAGGTTGTCTCATCATCAACATTTCAGTAGTTAAACTTTCCAAAATAATATTTGTTATTTTGAAAGCAATATTTTTTAAACGTCTCTTAAGTATTTTTCATAAACTTTATTTTGCAAAACTTTTCCAAAATATAGCTAAAGTCAAAACAAGATCGTAAAAAGTTTTCAAATAATCTAAAGAAGGATGGAAAGTTGAAGCAAATGAGTTCCTCTCTCTCACCACAAAGCGACCTCTACAAAGATACAGTCATCGTAAATATTGACGACAACCACCAGGAGGATGATCAGCAAGACTTGGACAACATTCAGAATGATGGCATGGATGACGAGGACGAGGACGACCTCAGCAACCTCGATCAAAAGAACGGCGGATGCATCGGCGTTGTCTTAAGAGTGCTTGCTCGAATGTGCGATGGTCAGCACGCAGGACTGCAGGTCTTTTCTAAATTTTAAAATGTTTATTTATATTGACTATATTTTTAAATAAGAAAATATTTTCAAATTTAGACTTTTCGTGTAAATTTGTGGATTTCAGCGGGCAAAAACTAATTTTTATTATGCAGAACTATTTGAGAGAGCAGCCGGACAACATAAAGTCGTTCAACATAGTAGCAGAAACAGCCACATTTGTTAACTTGGTTTATTCCAACATTTCAGTGCAAAATATTGATCTCTGCGTTCAACTTTTTGAAACTCTAAATGAATTTACAGTTGTTAGTTTCATATTTAAACTGTCTTTTAATTGAATCTTAAAAATCGTTTTATGAAAATATCTTGTTTTCTGTTCAATATAACTGACAAATTTCTGAAATTTATTTCTCAATGGAAAGATTATGAATATTAAATATGAAATGTTTATAGATACTTTATGATTTTTCTTCCTGTAGGGCAACCAGCTAAATAGATCTGTAATGTTAAATAGCAAAGTGGTCGATTACATCAATTTTATTTTGAGAGCCGCCGAGTTTAGTGGATGCAGCTTGAACAAGGTTTGCATATTATAAGCATTCGATTTCGTTTAATTTTGTGATTTATTAAAATTCTGGTATGTTAGACTAGCGTTATTATGTAAAGGTCGACAAAGTCTTCAAACTAATGTAATGTAACATATTTCATTTCATGTTATTTTATTTTCTAATATATATTCAATTGTTTTATTTACTAAAATCTGCATACTGAAGAATATAGAAGTTTTTCGATTTACTCTTATTTAAACATTATAAGTTCAATTGAATTTTTTAATAGTTTTAACTGTCTGGCTTATTATCCATTAATCAATTGTATATTTTAAAACTTACTATTTTTCTATGAATTATTTTATTCTGTCTTTCAAATAGATTTTGTCTCTGAAAATGTCAATCGGTAATTTAGTGCTTGCAATGATTGAAGAGAACACACCCGAGAGTCTGATCGTGGCAAAGGTCGTTGCTTTCTATATATTCATACTCTTCCTCGTATTGCTTAACTTAGCCTTGACAGTTCTCAAAGTTTAAAATTCTCAGCTTAGCTAAATTTATTTCAGACCAATTTTATCACTAAAATTTCATCCTGTTTTTCAAGCTCACATTTTTGAAATTTTATTTCAAGCCAGCTAAATTTCACTTGATTCATAGGCGCTCAAACCATTTCACCATTCTAATACATCCAATTTCTAATCATTTTCGTTCTAGGATAATTTACAAATTTTTAGTCGTTTACTCTTTAAAGAAGTAAGAATACAGTGAACAGAAAGCGGTCTTCAGATGTTTACTTGAATATTTTCATTTCTGTTCTTTGGAGGTTTCGGCTCAATATCAGCATGGCCAAAATTATGCAAAAATAAAGCCTGCTGTTTTTCAACTACGTCTCCACATATTTTATCCTTTAAGTTTGGCAGCGTACTTTTTAAATATAAAGCCGAGTCGTTTTTATAGTACTTCTATGCCATTCTTTTTATTTACAACTTTTTATTTTTCTTGTTTAACACGCAGTTGCGTCAAACGCTTCCGCCTTACAATTACCTTAACGTTCACAAAATTAGAAAAATAACAGAAACGCTTTCTTTACAACATTTTAATCAGTATTTAAAATTCCCCTCATTTGTGATGCCTTCATTACTGTTAAAATAACGCATTTTTCAAAAAGTTATTTATTGATAAAAACAATATGAAAAAATTTTTCAACGTTATTATTGTTTGTATGCAAAATTATGAACGCTCACAAAAACCAAAATGTTAAAAGAGAATAATTATTTTCAATTGTTCAACTGTACACTTTAAAGGAAGTGAAGGATACAATGGATAAGGAAGCGGTATATAGATGCATGACCCAATGCTACGAATCCTGTCTCGTTAGTAATTGCTATCAATTTGAAATGGAATTGGTTCTAAAGAACAAACAAATAAAAATTATCATAATCTTTTAATTAACAGAGCGATAGAACTAAGTTGGATTCACTGAAGGGCAATCTGAGCATGAAAGCAATTCAGGCAGCTAAAGATCTTCCAAAGTTTGCTAAGAGGGTTTGTTCAAGTTTCATTTATTTGACTAATTGTTAATCTTTTTAAAATACCATTTGTGCGTTTGGTTTTAAATTTAAAATTTTTCAACCTTAAAAATTTTGGACAAAAAATTTTGTTTGCTATTTTTACTCCATAGATAAAAAATAATTAAATAAATACACACATTTCTAAGTTTTATTTTCTGAAGTAAATATTATTACATTCTGAATGTGAAAACTCAAATATATGTAATTTAGTCTGTTGTTAAATGTCAATTGTCAGCAAATGAATTGGCGGCTGAATTAATTAATTTTTAATTTATAACATTTTTTATTATTTGTATTTTGTTTATTTGTAGCAAGATGACGACTCGAGGACTCCTGAATTGAAGGAGAAACTGGACGAAGTTGGGTTCGTGTACTACCTGATACTGGCCAGGATCTATGATATCGACCCCAAACTGGGCAACAGTAGGTTTCCTGTTTTCTATTTTTTTTTCCTTAGTTATCATTTCACCACTCATTTCGTCCTCAGATGTCAACTTGACAGAAATGCAGCAAGAATCATTCAACCATTACAGAAAAAACACCATGTCGATAGAAATACTTAAAGACTCAAACCTTCAAAAAATTAACTTCAGAGTCAAAAATAAGGCTTGTTATAAACGTGTTTTGTTCATTTATTAATAAAATATGTCGTTGATTAATAATTTAACTGAAGGATATAAATAATTTGCACTTGCAGAATGTACTAAGGAACGAGATTAAAGAGAAGCTAACGTGGAATGTCGATCGCTCATCCCCCAGCAATAAGATTCGAGATCTCATGAAGTGGTCCAAAGACATATTGATCGATATCTACTACCAAAGAAAAATTTTATCGAATCCTCTTGCTACCTTCCTCACTAAAAACTGGTTAGACTGGTTACACTAGCACGTCAGCAAACAATTTAGTCGTTAATTTGCACGGTTTACTATAAAACCGAGCTTATTGTATCTGAAAAATTTTTAGAAGCTAAGTAACCTTCAGAAACTCTTCTTAGGTTACTGTGGAATAGACTGGTGATAATATTGAGTCTGATACTGAACATATTCATGTTGGCCACTTGGAACGCCTCCATGTCACTCGCTGATCTGCCTGGGTCGAAAAATTTAACCGATCTTCCAGACGAACTATACAAGTACGATGAACATTTCTTAATCATTACCATTGTTAACAGATTACAATTCTTCAAACATTTTAATAAAGAATGCATTAGCCTAACGAGTTCATATAAACTTATTTGTTGCAAACACAAGTGCATATTTATGTATGGACAAATTTGTGTATTTACTGATGTATATAGAATATAAGTACACGCCACAGATATTTGATATATGTTTATATAATACTCGTGTTTTTATCGAATAATCGAAAACCGAAGCCCCAAGCAGAAAAAATTTTTCCAAAGCCCAACCGCCCGCATTAGCAGAATTAACATTCGCAACCGCCCGCATCCGCAGAGTTCACGTCCGCAACCACCCGCATCCGCACTGCTCATTACCTACATCTGCACCCGCGAAAAGGCAACCTAAATCATGTTTAAAATTAGAAGGTAGCAATACTAGAGAGCAATTTACTTATAATATAATTATAATCAAACAGCAGATAGTCCGCTGAGAAAAATTTAATTAATTTCTAATTTAATAATTGAAATAACATCAGCCAGAACAACGAGCACAAAATGAACGACAATGAGGAACTCAAACAAGCTATTAATTTATTTAATATTTATGAAGATGTTATGTTATATAAATGTATATAAATGTATATATATATATATATATATATATATATATATATATGAATATACATGTGGGTGTATGTATGGACGTGTTTACATTGAACTAACTTTCTTTATTCAATTCTGCTGAAGTAATTAGTAGAAGCTTTGCCAACGTGGACTCAAGAAAGACTCAGCTATGGTCATTAAATACACATACATACACACGTACATATATGCAAACAAACGAAGAAACAAAATTTTTTATTCCGAAAATTTTTGAAAGTTAAAAATTTAATTTTGTGGGCGGTTTTTTGCGTAACGCACTTAATCCGCAAACCGCGCAGACAAAATCCGCGAACCGCAAAACTCGCAGAGTTTTGAGAATTTTTTATCCGCAACCGCGTTTGTTGTGCGGTAACCGCGGTTCGAAACCGAAAACTAATGTAAAGTTCTACATTCAATCGAAATAAATAAATGGTAATTGTTACAATCAGTTTATAACATGTCGTCTTTTCTTCAGTCCCACGCCATCAATCACCATGAAAGAGTATTCGACAGTCATCTACAGTCTCGGAGGTGTACACTGTTTTTTCTCCTTCCTCGTCCTCCTTACTTACTTCCTATCTAACCATCCTACTCTGCCAAGCTTCTCAGCAATTAAACAAAAATTTGCGTTAGTAAATTTTTTGTTTTTTTTTAATAACTTTTTTGTTTTTGACTTTGAATTGAACTTCCGAAGTGAAATTTTATGCAAGACAGCATCAGTGATAGTCTAATACTCAGATGCTAAACTATTTAGAATATAAAACGGAAGCAAAATGTCATAGATGGATCTTCTCATCAAGAGATGTAATTTTAAAACACTTCCAATTTTGCAAATGATAAGCGGAGATTTTGTTGTCACATTCGAAGCCTGTAACTGCACGCACAGCGAAAGAGAAGCAGGCGATCTTAACAACTAAGTCATCATCACACAAATTCGTTTTTTGATAATTTGAATTTAAGAATGATGTTGACATTTACGAAATTTTTGAAATGTCATTATACACATAAAATTTTGAGAAAGTATTTTAGCCGTTTGAGTTTTAGTGTGCTGAAAAAAAGATCAATTTCTTAGACTTTTGAATTGTTTATACATATCTAAGTTTTGCTGTTTTTCCATTATATTTTAGTCAATTTTTATCTACTGTTGAATTTAGAAAATGTGGATGGAAAAAAAAGAAGAAAAAAGGAACTGACAGTGAGGAAGAGGAAGAAAAAGAACATGAATCCAAATTGGAAGTCAAGTTCCTCAGTTTCACAACACTGTATTACTTGGTTGGTGAAAAAATTGATTTAACAGTTTTTGTACAATTAAATACATTTACCTGTACCTTAAATATCATTTATCTCTTCGTTGGTTTTTAAGATAATTATTCTCAGGGAAGTTTTGAAATTTGGTTTTTATTGGCAGGTTTTTTTAGGAATGTCGGTTGCAGGGATAGTTTTTCAAGGTTTGATATTTTAGTTCATTCCTATTGATTTAAATAAATTGTCCATATTTTACCTGCAATGTTTTTTTCTCGATGGCCATAGTATAGTAGCTTTCATTTTTTAAATGTAAAATGTGAAGAAACGAAATAAATTTTTGATTTCAGTTTATTGAAAATGTATACCAATCATTTTTACTCAATAATTTTCCCATGCTTACTAAGTTAGACAAAAAGCTTATTTGAAAAATTGCATGAAAAATATATTATAATTTATGAGTAACTAAACGTGAACAAATCAGAGGGTAAAGGTTCAAGTTGGATTAAGTCGTTATGTATGAAATTTTGTGTCTGTGTGATGTACGGTCAGTTTCCATTAGCATTTCAGTTTTGTATATCAGTTCTTAAAAGTTTAGCAAATTCATGATAACTTTTAATCGCTGACGCTTTTGTTCGACTTACCAGGCTACTTTTTTGCGTTCCACTTGTTGAACATCGTTAACAACAACCAGCTGTTGAGAGGCGTCATACAGGCTGTCACACTTAACGGTTTGATAGAGATTTCATTTTCATATTATCTTATAAAAAGTTTCCAATATTTTAAACAAATGTTTAGCCATTCGTTTATTTGAAGAAATGATGGCTTGCTTTCAAAATGATTACCAAATATTTCAAAGTGGTACAAATTTTGAAATCATCATTAAGGCAAATCTTTGTTGTGGGTGGCCGTTCTTGGGCTAGTTGTGTTTTATCTCTACGGCTTGGTGAGTTTTGCTTTGATGCGAACTTCGTTTGATCCCGAGAACGAGCTCTACTGTTCGACTCTCTGGCAGTGCACCGTCTCTGTCGTCCACTACGGCCTCGTCGGTGATATTTTTTCTGTAAGTCTTCTGCTGTACTTCAAATGATGTTTTAGGTGATCGTTTAGTAAATTATGCCACGTTTATTTTGTTTTCACGTTCTTATTGTTGATAGATGTTTTATTTTGGTGTGTGCCATGGGCTGCTTGCCTGGGCCTACTTTTTAGAACAATAATTATTTTATTCGGACGTATTATTCATAATATTTGTACATTAACAACAAAAAATTTGCTCTCATATAGAAAGTAGTCAGTCACCCTGCGGAGAATACGTTTTACAGATTTGGATTTCTAGTACTTTTCCATATGTCATTTTTCATTTTTATCACTACAATTGGACTCAACATCATCTTTGGCATCATCGTAGATACATTCTCCGAGCTGAGAAATCTTAAGGTAATAATCAATAAAAATAAATTTTTATTGATGAAAATTAATTTTTTTTTATTGATAAAAATTAATTTTAAGTGAGTTAGCTCAGTCGGTAGGAAGTGTCGTGTTTTGCGCTGTCATTACGCGATGGCCTGGTTCGATTACTGCCTGCTTGAAACTCAAAAACTATCATAAACCATGAGTGTTCAATGTACATTGCGTTTGACAGATCTTCAATGAAAAGAATACTAAAATAAAATAATTATTTCAAAGATTTAAATCATTAAAATTCTTATTGTCCAGTTTAATATTATAATTTCGATCAATCAACCAGCATTCAACTAATTGAAAATGAAGAAAAAAATCAATTAAAAAATCATCAACCTATTGATCAAAACATCAATCAATCAATAAACTAATCAATCTAAAAATCAATTAATAAATCAATCAGTCAATTAAAAAAATTAATCAGTTGATGGATGACAAAATATTTTGTAGCGCCACTTACATAGCGTTCACTGCACTCTTAAAATATAAAAATCGTCAGCAAATAGGTTTTAAGACACATCAAACATTATGAGTGAGAAGGTTTGGAAATTTATTCCAAAACATTACGAAAGTTATTGTAGCGAAGAAATTGAAATTGGAAGGCAAACTCAAATATGAAAAATTTAAATAGGCAACAGTAGACTTAGGCAAGCAGTTCATTAGACGAGAAAATGACGCAGTAAATTTAATGTAATAATCAGACTACTAAAACATTATTATGAAACATTTCAATTTAAATTGTTTAGTGGACCGCAGAAAGAGACATGATTGATACATGCTTCATATGCAGTAGAAGCAGCTACGACTTTGAACATCATGGACAGGTTAGATTTTCTGGTACTGGCTGGTTTTTTCATTTCGAATTTATTGTTATTTTGTAAACACATTCGGAAAAACAATTTTCGCTAATCGATGTTTATGGCAAACGTGTTATTATTATTATTACCATTATTATTTTTGTTATCATAAATGTTAATATTAGAACATTTTATATAACGATTATATATATATTTGTATTACATATATATTTATTTATATATTATGTAAACCATCTATCCGTTGTCTAAGAAGCTTTATAAAACGAAGCTGCACTGAAGATGATTAGTGAAAAATCTAAATAGACCTATCCGCAGGTTGAATTTTGATAATAATTATTCTTTAAAAATCAGGATCTGACAGACGCAGAAACTGTAACAGCATGCAAAGCAGTAAAACAAAATTAAATAAATAAGTGAGAAAATAAATACAAAAAGTGAGGAAGAGAAATGATAAAACATGAAAAATAAAATATGTTTAAATAAAATAAATAATAATAAGAGAAATAAAAGAAAAGTAATTGACGATGGAATATAAAATGAAGTAACGGCAAATAGACTAGATGATGACTTAGTGAGGTGATCGATAAATAAAGACTAGGCCTGTAAGTGAAAAAGTTTTAATGAGTATTAATATGTTTGATGACTTATTAATAGACTAAATGATGACTTAGTGAGTTAGTGAGGTGATCGATAAAAGTGAGGTGATCAATAAGTAAAAACTATTTCAGTAATGATAAAGTTTTCTTAAGCGCTAATATGTTTGAGGTCTTTTCCTGGTATGTAGATTGGGCGACGACTTGATAGTTATGTTTGCGCTGATGAAGGTTGTGTGTTGTAGTTTTGATTGGTGGTAGTAGAGGATGGATGACGTGGTTGTTGTTATTTTCTATTTTCTTGAACAGCATTGAATCGAGTGTGTTGAATATCTGAGTGACGGTAGGATATGATGCAGGTAGGTAGTTGAAGCGAATAAGTGTTTTGATGAGAGATTGTAGCTGCTGAAGTTGTTGCGTGGCAAAACCAGACCAGGAGGTAGCTGCATATTTGATGCGTGAGATGATGAGGGATTCGGTGATGTCGAATAATTTGACGCCTCTGAGACCATGTGAACGGAGTGTTTTGAGTGCGTGAAATGTTTGAAAGCCTTTTGTGATGATGTAATTGATATGAGGTGCTATAATGAGTGTGGAGGTGAATGTGATGCCTAATATTTTTAGTTGATTTGTGCAAGTGATTGATGGGTGTTCAGGAGATAATGTTATTTTTTTACGGCTATTGTGAATGATGAGTTCGAATGATTTATTGAGATTAAGTGAAAGGTTGCATCGTTTTGACCATGTGGTTAATGAGTCGAGTTCTGATTGGTTGGTGTTTGAGTTAGATGATGGGATGATAAGGTAAGTGTCGTCAGCGTATTTACTATTTAAATAATACTATTTTTAATAAATTGAACAATTTTCAGAAAATTCTAGTAAGTTAAATTGAAAAGACAAACCTTATATTGGCTGATGCTAACAACTCGGTTGAATCCATACAATACTGCATACAATATGGTCGCCTTCCAACATATAATATTTATTTACATTCATAGTTACATTTAATATAAAAACAAAGTTTTTCAAAAGCTGTCTCAAAAAATTTCAAAATTATTTTCACTTCCGATGGATTGCTGCTGCTGATATTTCAATCTTTCACTCGAACAAATTCAGGGCAGGAATAACCGCCAACAATAAAATTTTTTCATGAACTCAAGAAACTTGAGAATGGGTTTACGATCAACCGTTAGAAAAATCGAAAAGTTATATAGGATGTTAACTAACTTCTGAACATGCTGTGATTTTCATCAATAACTGCTTGTAATAGTGATTTTCATTGATAATTAAACATATATATATATATATATACATATATATATGGTTTACGGCCAAACCACTCCACAGAGCTTGCTACTCTTGATTTCATACATCATGTTTTGTCTAGATTGAATGACAAAAAGCTTTCAGTTGGATTATTTCTGAAAACATTTCTTGGGAATCTCATCTACAATCTATCTTCTCTAAATTTGACAAACTCATAGGTCTTTTCTACAAAATCAAGCACAAATTAACCAAATCCGCCATAAAAAAAATTTCTACCATGCATCCATTCATTCATCCTTATCTCACTGCATAACCGTTTGGGGTAACTCACCAAAAATCCACCTTCATTGTATGATATTGTCACAAAAAAGAGCTATTTTTACGCTTAATCTTCAACTTGAACCCTTTCTCTCCCACTAGCTCTTTTTTATTAAACATAATATTTTGTCGATTAGTTGTTTATACATTTATTTTACAGCTATTTTTGCTTTCAAGTTTTTAAATAATTTACTTCTCTCATTTTTCTAACTTTTATACACTCAGTGAATCTGTTCAAACTCTCAAAACTAGACACACTACTATTTTGTACCTAGTAAAAACTCGCCTTAAACTCATCTCTACAAGTTTAAAAACAAATGGCCCTAAAATTTGGAAATTATTTATTCCATGCCATTTATAACATTAACAAGCAAGCAACTCTTTAAAAAAGGTTGAAATCTCAGCTTTACTTCACCCCGACACCACCATCTAATGATTTATATACATTAATATATAGCTGTTGTTTAAATATGAGTGGGTGTGTGTTGTGCGTGTGTGTGTGTGGTGCGTTTGCGTTTTTGACTGTCCGCTATTATTATGATTAATTGACTACTTTATAAGTATTATTTCATTCTAGTTAACATTTTTATAAAGTTTTGATATAGTATTTGAATACATTTGAACGCTGAAATGGATTTT